CACAGAACAGAGGCTGCAGTTTCTAAGTTCGCATTGCTCCCCATCAGATGGTTTTGTTTGTAGCAGGAAAGGAAGGTGCATGCCTCAGCACAGGGGTGTGGCATGTGGCTTCCAGGGGCCCTCACTTACCGAAGAAAGGGCAGCCCTTGCACAGGCAGGAGCCAGCAACAAGGATCCACGATGTCACTTAACACCTCAAGCCACGAGATCCACAGCAATCCTGTTGCTATCACTGCGAACGCCAACATCAACGCCATCTCCTTCCTACAGCCACGTGTTAACACCACTTGTTGTTCTGCTATGCTCTGACCATCACAGGGTTTCAATTCTTGTTCCCTGACAGTGTGCTATAGATTGTTACATTTCACCCTGGTTTTACATCTTTATATAATTCCCGCTTTGATTCTCAGCTAGCAGTTGATTTCACCTATTTCAACACTGATTTCCCCTTGTTTGCAGTTTGCTCAGGCTCTGGAAGACAAGCCCTGTTCTTTGCAGTACATGAAGTGTCTAGGCTCACACCACCTCAAGCAGTAACCAGTAAAGGCACCAAGATACTTATCCTGGAGGCAGCGTTCGGAACCGCAGCCTTCCGAAGGAAAACACCGCCGCCAAGGACACACACTCCTGAGTCAGCGTTACCTGTCACTGCTCAGCAGAAAGGGAGGCATCGTGCCAGACGAAGATCAGTTTAACAGGTCTCTGCCCCTTTATTTTAAAGAAGGACAGTGCTAACAAAGGTTGCTGAGCCTGTCTGAGAGGCACACACCAACCCCAGCTGTCAGGCTGCAGCATGGGCACAGCAGTGAACAGGCAAGTTGGCTTCTGTTCCAACAGAAACACCAGGCAAAGGGTAATGGTTCTCAAAGAGACTACAACAAAGGCTGCAGGGAAAAACATTTTATTTCCAAGCAGATTACAAAGAGCAGAGAGTATAAGAGTAAAATTAAATTAAAAAAATAGTTGAGTGCATCTCTTTAAAATGATTTGTAGTGTGAGTTACTCACGGGGCAAAGCTACTGGAGAGTTCTGAAGGTCACTTTGCAGGATGCCAATCACATGTGCTGTTTAGACCAGGGTCAACACAGGAGGGACAGACAAGTGGATTTTGCATATAGGCTGCACACTCATCATCAAGCGAGGCTCTGGGCTGCAACAGGACCCTGCCTGTCTGAGACACCCCCTCCACCTTGTTCTCTCCTGCAGTTCCCTCTCGAGTTCTAGACGCAGTTTATTGCTGCTGTGAGTTCAGGCTGCCTCCCCATTCTGATGAGCTCAAATGAGAAGGGAGAAGCAGGCAAACATGCTGCCACGCGCAAGGTTATACAGGGAAAGCAACTGCAGCGCCGAGAGCAGAGCTGCAGCCATGCAACAAAGGGAACTGACAAGTGTGGGGGACACAGCAATCACTTCAGAGATTTTGGGGCAGTGTGTCAGTGAGACTTCTGGAAGAGATTTGAGATGCTCCTTAAGGGGGAGAGATGCTGGAGCTGAGCAGGGCTGTTTCCTATGCATTGGCACCAGTAGAACAGAACAGGCTGAAACATCAGGGTAAGGGACGTTTCCTGTGGTATCTGAGAGGAGCAGTCCCAGCAAGAGGGGGAGAGAAGCCCCATCTAGGGTGGAAGACAGTTTATATCCCACTTTAACAGTGATTTAAGAGGCCAAACACTAATTGCAAGTAATCACTATTCAACTTGGATGAGAATGTAGTTTGTTTGGACTGTGCAGAGTCGATCAATGTCCAGCAGCACTCAGACCAGCAAGAGGATGAGCAACTAGAGTTACCAGCAAGTCCTCCACCCCACATGTGCTCAGACGGCTCTTTTCTACCACTTCTGCATCTGTTCTTACTGCGGCGCAGGAGGCCTGAAGATGGCCTAGTCCATTCTGAGTACACCAAAGCAGAGAGGAGCCCTGGTGCAGCAGAGAACAAGACTCTCTTAATTTCTGCCCAAGGAGCAGCGGTGCAGAAGATGATTCTTATTTAGGGATCAGAGTAAGTCTTTTTTCATTGGTCCAAGGCAGGACAGTTCAGGAACTACTTCAGACTTTGTCTCCCATCTAAAAATCCAGGAGAACTCTAGGAGCGAAGCAGCCAACAGGTAAGAGCCCTGTTAAGTTACTTAGACCGTTCCCTTCCCTCAGCACTCCAGACAGGAGGGAAGAGCCACTCTCTAGTCTGCTCTCTGCTGCTTCAGCCGTTACCACTTAAGAGGAAATGCATGAACTCTTGAAAGTAAATGAAAATAATGGTGCTGTGGACGAGTGTGTAAGAGGCTCCACGTTTCCTTAGGAAAGCAATGCGATTAGTGTCACGAGAGAGGACAACACCGAGTCCTGTCAGAATGTGGGGTGCTTTACAGCGGTCAGTCATGCTCTGCTTTCTGTGGGTACCACAGAGACAAGACGAGCATAGCTCAAAACCAACAACGCAGGGTCTCCAGCTTGACTTTTCTCTGCTTTATTTATTTAGAGATCAATGCATTTCCAGCCTGTCTCATACAAGGCATAGGGCATGGAGAGTTCTCACTGAATAGATACACACATACAAGAGCAAGCATTTGGCACTCTGGGAGCCGAGGGGGAATGCCCTTTAAGCAGCAGTCAAGCTGGTTATAGGAAAGTGTTAAAAAGCTATTTTACATGTTTGATTGGGAACATTTCCCAGAACTTGGAAAACAACCCTAAGCCACAGCACTCCTCTGTGCTACTCTGTGCATATGTCTTCCTATGAATCCCTTAAAGGGAGCAGATCATGTTCTTCACTATCAAAGAACACAGTATTTATATTCTAGAAATACTGTACCTTTTAAACTAGCTCCAGAGGGCCAGACTAGAAGTCAGGTCCAGGAAAATAATCCTTAAGTCACAGTATATCGATTGTCTCTAAAAACAGGGAATGAAGTTAATACAGTGGACATAATGATGAGACAGTACAGACCAGTATGGCAGTCCACTTTCGCATCAGCAAATCCCTCTCCTATGTACTTCTGAACAATGAGAAAAGAATGGAAACGCTTCAGTCTGCCAGGACAAAACCCACCATTACAAAATCTCCACAGCTCACCGTGTGCCAAGTTCCCCTGCTCTAAGCGGTATACTCCAAGATCAAGAACTCTTACCCTGCAAAGATTTTAGACCATCCTGCTGTTAAGGGTAGTAAGGAAAGTGCACAACCTAGAATTTTAAGGTAACATGGAATTCTGTTTCCCCAGAAAGCTCAGCTGAAGTATCTGTTTTTCCCTAACCTGGAACTGCCCTAATATTCTGTCAAGTTATTGCAGCTTCTGGTAATTTTTAGACTAAGAGGTGACTCCCAAAGCCACCTAATAAAGCACCTTGTACACTGGGTATCTGGCAGATGACTTCACCACCCACTGCATTTCCCATGGAGACAGAGTGCAGCAGGCTCACGCTGGGGGCAGGCGTACTGGAGCCAGCTCCTCGTGCAGTACTGCAGAGCACACGCTGGGACCTGAGCACAGGTGTCTGCAGTTTCTCTCACATTTTTGCAGCTCTGTTTGGAAGACAGGACAAACAGCCTGAAAGAATCCCCTCTGTGCAGGACTGCTGGGCATCCTAAGCAACAAGCACACCCAGCTGCTTGGAACAGTGGGAGCTTGCCCCTATAGCCATGTCCTTAAAATATTTAAATTAGGGCCAGAGATGGACGTTACGGTCACTAAGATAGGGTAAAGGGATTACAGGCTTCTGACAGCTAAAGCAGCGTTAGAGATCCCAACAGCCCTCCTACCAGGGGGCAACTGCTGGCTCCCAAGGGGTGAACTGAGCTGAGGGTACGTGTTGCCAGCACGACACACCACCTGGGCACCATCCTCCCAACATGCCCACTGGGACCTGGGCACCAACCCCAGGCTATTTTCCCCTGGCATAACTGAGGGCAGACACTGAGCTAAGAGTCTACTTTAGAGTGCAGGTGGTAGTAAACAACCTCACCTCCCTGCACCGATTCGAGCACAGAGTCCTATGTAGGGGACAAACTCACACTGACGACCAACCCAAGCACTTCTGCTTCCTCATCAACACCGACGTCAATATGAAGCATCCGAGGGTTGAAGTCTCTTTGAGCTCACACACCTCCACACTGACTGAGAGCACAAAGGCAGGGAACATCATGGCTACTCTCATCATTTACACTGTGCACAACCAACAGAGAGGGCAGACCTTCCTCCTTCTCAATACAGACAGGTGCTGGTCAACAGAAGTTTCAGAAAAAACTGCTTGCCTGTACACAAGTTCTTTTACTGTAATATATATTTAAATATATATCCATGTATAACAGGGAAGGGACATGAGATGGAGAAGCAGGGAAGACAAGTTCAAGAAGCAGAGTCATCTCTCCGCATCCAATAAGCTGGTGGCACAAATAACAAGCCTGGCTAGAGTGATCTCCCATTTCAAGCAGGGCTGGCTACCCACTGGCTTCAAAAGAGCAGACTATTTGTTAATGATACAAAATACAGCAACCATTTAAGATGCAGCAAGGCAAGGCTACAGAGCTGGGGTTTATGATCATGAACAATGCCAGAAGCTACACAGCTGTGTCTGAAACTGTGAAAAGGCTGTTGAACAGCAGGAGTAAGCCATGTGCTGCTCCCGGAAGGCCTTTTCCCTCCAACATCCCTCCATCACGCTGTTGGTGTGATGCATTTGTAAAGCTGGAGAGAGGGGGATTTGCCTAGGGGTGAAGCCTCACAGGCTGGTCACAGAGCATCAGGACAGTCTGATATGGTCTTACAGATCCCACGTCCTAGCCTGACACTGAGCTTCCATCAGCAAGCAGACATACAGATCCTTCAACAGAAGTTAATCCCATTCTACCTTCCTAATTTGTAGGGGTGAAAGTCCAGCAGAGTGGAGCTGGAAAGCACAAACAGGGATGAAAACAATGAATTTCCATACTGGTCTTTGTATAATGACCCCCCCCACCCTCACAGCTCACTCTTCCCCAAATAAAGACACATTGTTCAATGGCATGTTGAAAAGACGTGCTCGTCATTCTTAATAAACAACTAGAGTAAGAATACATAAGAGAAACAGGGTGGTATCTTTATATGATACACAAGTGTATGTTACAAGAATTCCATCAGGCACAGGAGCCTCAAGGTTTAAGGCCTCAATGTTAGGCCAAAAAAGAAGAGTGTGGTAAAGTTTGTACTTTTAACATCTAAAAATGTCACTTAAAGGTCTGAATAGAAATCGTTGGTTTGTGGTTTGGTTTTTTTTTTTGTATAAATCACAATTGCAGTTCACTCTCTCCTCTTCCTTCCAAGATAACAGCAAATTAACGTCCAAGCACAAGAAAAGAAGATGCCTGCCTCTCCTCCACTGGCTGAGCAGGTCCATCCATCATTCTGTGCCCTCTAGGCTGCACGTGCTCCAAGGAGACAGAGGCCCCAGCCATCCAGGCCGATCCTGTAGTTCATGTTTTCTACATCATAAAAAAAACCAGAGTCAACCAGCAGCCTTCCACAGCTCCCAGCTCGCAGGGGATATGCAGCCTCCAATGGTTCCAACAGTTTGGTGTGTTGGGTAGGATACACAATGGGTAGGTTTCCTTTAGATTCTTTTAAAGAGAAGAAGCCTAAAAGGGCTTCGTAACTACACCAATAAAAAAACCAAAAACTTAGGCATCTCCTTTAGTGTAAAAGTCTGTACAATTTATCTTTGCTTGTCCCTCCCCCGTCACCCCGCCCCACCCCTTCTGAGCCAAGAAGGATGCCTTAGTGCATTGTGCTGGCATTAGCCACGGCAAGAGCTTCCTGAATCTCTCGTATCACCAGGATCCGGGTGAGCATCTGCTCCATCTGCTCTCTGCTGATCGGCTGGATGGAATACCAGATAGGGCTGTTGGGGGCCACCACTGGCTCCGGTGTCAAGTAAAACGTGTCATTCCGGCCTTTCACACTCTGGGGGCTGCGTAAGGAAGATCAGAAATAACCAGACTAACAGAATGTCCTAGGAGGGAGACACCACCACTGTCATCACCCCAGGCTTCACAAATCCTGACGGGGAACATCTGGCTGATGAGATATGAAGCTACAGAGTTACATCTAGGGGCAACGGTGGTCCAAAAGCTTTTAGGCCATGCCAAGGTTAATAAGCCTTGATAACAGCTACAAGAAAGTAATTTTTATTTCCCACTGGTAAGTGTAACACACACATGGCTTTAGGGGTCTTTCAAAGTGAAGCAAGGATGTGGCATTTTCACATCCAGGCTAGCTGCAGACTCATCCATGCAGAGAAATGTTTACATTAATTATCAGAATCATCATCATTTAGAGGCGAGTCCTTTGAGGCTCCCTCCAATCTCCATAGCAAGTCCTCATATTTATTCAGAAGCCGATTTGAACAGGACCCTAATCCCATCTCAAGTAGTGGATGCTTCCACATGACTTGCTTCCAAGTCACAGGCAGCCAAGCAAGCTCATGCCATCCCAGCAAACCTCCAGAGTGGGTATGAGATTAAGAGCAGCCAGTTCACAAGTCAGGATTTGTCTCTAAATACCACAGAATTTCAACTTAAGTGTCATCAGAGTAAATCCCACCCTCTCACATTAACGGCCCTCCCCATTTAAGTAAATTTAAGCAAATGTAGAAACTATGGCAGCAATAAAACAGCCCTGAAAATTAGGCCAGCCGCAAGATGCAGCCAAACAGTCACAGAAGACAAGCAACCGTACACACGAAGAAGAGCTCTCACCATTTGAAGAGGTAGAAGTCATACAGCTTTATCGGACACCTCAGGGGGTTCTCTGGATTCTCAGTCTGCTCTGCGTACATGTCATCTGTAACTACAAACCAGCCCCCCCAGAAGTCTGTCAGACACTCCAGATAAGTACAGCAAACTGAGCAGTGCCAAACAGCCTCAGCACTTTGAAGCACCTTGTCACCATGCAAGAGCTGGCAAGAGACCTACGGCTGTTCCAGGGCAGAGGCACCTGGTTATAAATGCTCAAAGCATTACATGGAGAGCTTGCTTTACCCCAAGGCTACTGAAGAACACAACCCATCCGTATCCTTCTTTCCACTTTTCCTCTATCCATGCCCAAAAGGAGAGAAGTCTCACTACCGAGACAAGTCTGTGCTTTTAACAGGACAGATTGTACTTACATGTGGGTTCTGTATGGGTTCACCAGTCAGAATAAGAGAAGCCCTCCCAAAGAAGTTTCTCCCTCTGTTCACAAGCACTTAAGAGCCAATAGCCCCTTTGCCCATAAAAAACCAAAAGTAACAAAAAAGTTATCCTTAGCTCTTGATGAGTCCTATGTGCCTCAGGCAGGGCATGCCCCCGGGCTTATTATTAGAAGGTGCTACGCTCTCTCAGAGAGAATGCGCAGAAAACTCCTGAAAGCAGAGCCCTTGGTTCTCACGGCCCTACCTGCCGACATCTCCAGGTTCATCCACTTCCTCCAAGCCCCGTAAGTAAATATTCCCAAAGAAAACTTCCAGACACTACCTTTCTGTCCTGTCTGGTGTATGCCAACAGCTTTCAGAAAGCGGATACTCGTGCTTTTATCCTTGGGATTAGAAGGGTTTTTCTTGGTCTGCCTCAACACCTTGGAGAAGGCCAGCTTCATGTGCTGGTCTACTGTTTTCAACAGGAAGTATCTGAGCAGCAAGAAGAGAACACAGGACATTCAGAGGCAAGTAAAGGATACAGTCACAACAGTGAGGTAGTTATCTGTACTCATGAGCCAGCTGAAGCTCGAACCAACATCAAGTTAAAGACTGTTCCAGCAGCAAAGCATGCAACAGCCACAAGTTCAGTCTCCCCTCTGTTAGCTCATTTCCTTGTTGTACTGCAGCTTCTTTACCTGATGGGGCTGCAGGAGGGCTCTGTGTGCAACCATTGGAAATTCATGATTTTGCCCTAATCCAGTGCAGCAGTTTCCTACCAACCCTCTCAAGGTGTTTGAAGTTCCTTTATTCCCCAAGACTCCCAAAGGCCTAAGTACTTACTTTGTATTAAAAAACATCAATGTAGTGAGCAAGGTGGAAGGGGAGTGAGCTCCCAGCTGCTTACACTCCCACAGCATCTCTTCTGTTACATGACTGGAGAGGACATAACCTGCAATAACCAGAAGTCAGCATCATGCCAGCAGACAGTCATAGCAGGAACACAGGCAGCATTTTATGGTCTGTCAGTACTAGAGAACATATAAAACTTAAGGGGAGGAGATCCTCACTGACATCAAGATTCACTGCTGTGCAAATAACTTTTTAAATAGCAGGTACAGTTACAAAACACTTGTATACATACGTCAACCTCTAGTTGCAGAGAGTATGCTTCTGCAATACGCCTATACGTCCTAGCTCAGAGAGAAATAAATATGCACTTAAACAGCTTTTAATTAATGGCTCGACTCCAATGCAGATGCTCCTAATCCAATAATATGTGAGAGCAGGCAGGCCAGTGTAACAAATCAGCTCTTGGCCCTGCGCGCAGCTTTAGTCAGCACACAGTGCCAAGTGATGTATTTAGACATGTGAGTAATCCTTTGATTCTCAGATTTTTATTTTTTTTTCCTTTGTGTAGAAGAGAAATACTATACTCCAAATACACAGATAAACAGAAAAACAGACAGCAGTATGAACTCCAGGGCTGGTGGAATGGCTTGTGGAATGACAAAGCACAGATCAAACAGCCAGAGTAAAAACAAAGGGATTCCAAAACTCACAGTGCTACTTAGCCATCTAGCCTGTACCATCAGCTACTTTTCTGAACACAAGCAATAGCTTCTTCACTGACGTCTAATCAGATCAAAGGGAATGAAGTAATAAGAAACCAGGTTTCCATGCTCTGAAAATGCAATTCTGAATCTACTCATATGCAACTTTGTCAAAATCTGTCTCTTCTGGAACTGCTCCCCCCACCCCTGTTGCCATCATTTTCTGAACACAGGGTTGTGCTGCATTTGGTTGCAGCGTTTGAGGCTCTGATCAGACATTGTTTTTTACTTTGACACTCAGTTGGTCTTGGAGACCGTACCCATCTGGCTTCATGGCAACATGACAGTGCTGTATTATCTCCCAAAGTAATAATACATATCAGAGGCAAGATGTATTAGTGCTTCAGAGGAGGAAGCTTGATTCAGATCAAAGATCAGCTGGCTTCCCAGTACGCCAGTCTCAGGACACTACAAAGTCCCAACAATCTGCCTTCTGATGGGTGACAAGTGATAGACAAATAATCCTCAGTGACAACCAGGGCTAGAGCCTGACGGGTGCAGTAACCCCAGCATTCACTGCAGATGCAACATTTTTCTCCCTGACCAGTCTTAGCTGTCCTAGGGACATGAAGTACTTCAAAAGGGTTTCTATGCAGACTACACTCATGCTGTAGTTCACTTTAAACATTCCAAACTCCGGAAAGTTTTTAAAGTTCTTAAATAAAAGTTCTTACCAAGAGGGGATACACGGGGCTGTACGTCCTTGAGAACTTCATGCAGCCATTCAGTGAACCGAATATAGTAGAGATCTGAGAAGATGTCATCTACTCGGCCATTTTCAAAGAGATACTGTAAGAGATTCACACACAGTCCAGTACAGTGGGAGCGAGTATGTTCCTCAGACCAGACTTTGTCCTAGGAGCCCACGTACCCCGTTACTCAAGCATTTTATAGCACAGTACTGAAGACTAATACATTCTACTTAGAAGAGTGAGGACCCTTGCACCAAGGCCAGTACAGGGCAAGCAATCTGTTACTCTCATGGGAATGCTAAGACAGAATGGAAAAACCATCTAAGAAAGTAAAGCTGTCTGGATTTCACCTTTTATTTCAGGTGTGTTCACTGCAAGTTATTTCACATGACTGTCCTTTGGACACTACTTGTTCAGGTTAAGGAGAGAGATGCTCGATTTGCTATCAGGGTTTAGCTCTGTTCCTGCAGCTCTTCCAGAAAGCACACTAATATTACCAGCTGTTAGAGCTTCAACTAGATCAAGTTTTCACATTGGCAACTTCCTCCAACATCAGCCAACCCTCCTCCCCCGCCAAAAAAGCTAAAAGGATTTATTATTCTTACCCTAAGACTGAACTCAGTTATTAACAATTCTTCACAAACTTAACTCAGTGCATGAAAGCATTGCTGTGCGCTAATTACATTTCATCTATTATTTTTTTTTAAAAGCAAATAAACTTTTTTTTTTATGAAATTGTTGGGAAGCTTAATAGAAGCCATGGTCTCCATTTTTATAACAGAAAATCCTCCCTATATATGCTGACAACACACGCAGCTCTGCTGCACACAGAGCTGTCCTCCCCCTACCTTCTGAATACACAGGAAGATATAGTAGAGCACATCTGGATCATAGGGTTCACCATCACCATTTCGAGCTTCTCGTGTCATTAAGCACAGACCATAATTCAGCTCAGCCACAGCTGAAGAGATGAGATCTTCCTGGAACCTAAGCAGCTGACGCCCTGGAAAAAACAAAACAAAGCCATATTATTTAAGCCATAAAGCCATATTGTTTCCCAATCTTTCAGGAATGATTTCCCACATCTCCAGCTTTGCCATTCTATCAGGCAGGCCCAGTACAACTTCTTTCTCCCAGTATAACAAAGCAAGCTGAAATAAATCAAGATCTTAGGCTGTCAGATCTACTAAAAGATAAATGGGCAAGAATCCGACAGGAAGACACTCTGCCCTGCCAAATGCATGACTACTGCCTTCTTTTACCATGCCCACAATGAAATGCTGCCCTGCAGCCATACGAAAACAGTCCGTGACTGCTCTACCAGCTTGGCTGGCATTCAGAGCCATTTTGTTTGTCCGTGCACCACAGTCACAGAGTGCCCTTTTCTACTGCTACCAGCCTAGGTGCTCGTTGGCTCAGCACAGAGGTAGTACCTTCCTTGGAACATGTCCTGTGGCAGAGGGGGCATGCAATAATTAGTATTACAGAGTAAATCAAAGTTTAAATTTAAAAACAATCACTGATGATTGAAACAAAGGTGTTTCCAAAGCAGTAAACAGCTAACATTTTAGTCGCTCCTAGTCCTGCTTGAAAGGAAAGAAATGCCACACATACTTCCAATAGGTGCTAGCCTATTTTGGGCTTCTTTTTCCAGCTCTGCATTTTTGGTCTGTGCCCAGCTTTTCCACACTTCAAGCCCTTCTTCTGGCTTCAGAGAGTTTGGAAGTAGAAGTTCAGGTGAAGTCTGTGGCTGTGGCTGTGGTTCAACTTCAGCAACCTGAACAGTTTGAGCCTATGGCAGAAAACATTTCAGTTTATACATACACTTTGATATGCAACAGTTCAACCAAAGCCAAATAATGTCGCACTACCTCTAGCCCCAGGGTATCAGCCTTTTACAACACTCCTCTCTAGCACAAAATTAAGCCAAGGAACGCAGCTTTTGCTGTCTAACCCGACCCGCTGCTCACAGGAGAGTATTCATCTCTTCAAGCACACTTTTAGTTTGAATGGACGTACCTATAACCCCTTTAGCAAATCCATGCAACTCGCAATCTGATGCATTTAGAAGTCCTGCAGAACATCACAGGAGACCTAACAGCCAAAAGCTGTCCTTGCTGCAGCACCATTAAAGAAGCTAGCTGGTACGTTCAAAGGCAAAGATCTTCACAGGGCTAAGTCCTCCCAATAACAGACTCCTGGTTTTTCCTCAAACACTGAAACAGATGACTATTGATTCTGAACCCATTTGCTCCAATGCATTTTTCTTGTCTTCATCCAAATTGTCCCCCTGAACCACCACTGAAGTCCATCACCTCACAACGAGAGCAGCCCAAGACCCGTCACAGACACAGCCGTGAGACACAGCAGCTAGAGACCACCAGCCCCTGGCAGGGAAGAACAGCAGGATGCCATCAGCTTCACTAACCACCACTGCTCCAAACCCAGACTGCCCCGAGCAAGGTTCAGGGGACGATCGCCTGTTGTATGCTGCTAGCATCCTTCCGCACCCTTGCCCATCGAGGGCAGGCTCTCTTCATGATTCAGCATGGAACAGGCAGACAGAACAGACATGCTCTGTTCTTATCCTCAACAGCTGATGAGATTAATTCATTTGTAAGAGGTTTAAAGTTATAACAGGCTAGAACATCAGCATCAAAACATTAATTCAGCTGCAAAGAAACGCTCTCAAACTACCAAACACTGCCAGTGCA